CGACTTTAGACTCTAATAGCTGTAATCAGTGCCTGTGTAAATACTCTTTCCTACTACTTACATAATTGGAATTTAATTGGATCATGTGTCTCTGCCGTTTATTCTAAAATCGGACCAAACTCCTCTTTAGGTACTGATTAACGTGTGGCTGATGCTTGTTCCTCTCTCTGAGTTCTCGTGTTCCCTGTTTAGAAAGTCGATAAAGAAAAACCGAAGTTAAAATAAGTTTCCTTGTTTATTCCCCCCGCAAGAGATGAGTAGAGCCAGATAGCTGCCCGTGCCGCTGGAGTACAGGCTTGCAGCACCGGTACGCTGTAGCCTTGAGGATGGGCACATGTGCTCTCGAGGCATGAGAAACATTCGGCTAAACTCTGAAATAACCGAGAAGCTGAGGCCCTTTAAAAGCATATTAAACGTGGAGCAAGTAGTAGTTTTTTGTCTCTCCTGCGATACCGAGATGAATTGGGCTATATAGGATGACCATTTTGCTGCCCGTGTTCTTAACCTTGAAGTTAAAAATCTTCTTGTTAGTTGCCAGCTGCTTTCAAAGTTGATGACTCCTTTCAGTACTGCTTATTCTAAAGGTCCTTGCTCGCATAGGTCACGTTAATATGCAAGTTGATTTTTCTAATAGGTGCATTTAATCGAGAATTCATATGTGCACACATCTATTTTAACCTTTCTAAATACTAACGGACTTCCCCAAATGCTTTTTTGGGGGGGAAGGGAAAGAAGAAACTAATGTAAAATTCCTATGTTTGTGTGCTCTTGTTGATCGATTTGTGAATAGTATTTGTAGGAGGTTGGTTTTCTTGTGTTTGTTTTTTTGTTTGGTTGGGGTTTTTTTGGTGGTTTTTTTTTGTTTGTTTGTTTTGTTTGTTTGGTTTTTTTGTAATTCAACCAGTTTTTAGCCAAAGCAGAGCTGTCTGGGGTCCGACCCTCGCGGGGTATGTGAGGTTTGAGTCACGTGGCCTGCCGCCTCTCGTCGGCGTGTTGATTTCGAGACACATAGCTGTTACTTGTATTTCTAAAGCTGCCTCATCCCAGTGGTCAAACCTTAACAGAAAGCTGTCAAACCCTATTATAATAATATTTTCTCTTTAGAAAGTACACGTTACTATTACCATAGTGCTAAGCTGCTCAGTAGCAGTGCTTTGTTGCAAGGATGCTCATTACACCGTCAAGGTAGCTTGAGGAGGAATAAGGTGCATGCCTTTCTCTTGGTGATGAAAGGATGCCCTATCATGGAGCGTTGTGCAGCTCGGGCTAAGCAAAAGGGAATTATTAGGATGTGTAGCCAATTGTTGCTCAAAGGTGGAACTTTTTTCTCTCCTGGCTTAAACATTATATTGCAACCTGACTTGCTGCCAGGAGGGAGTGGATTAAATGTAAATGATGAGGATCATTAACATGGAGAGTTTTATTCAGATGCAGGAAGGTCTCTTCAAAGTAACTCTGAATTTGATCTTTTCTATGGCCAATGCTATTTTTTTAATTGCTGTACTACAGTGTATTTTGTCCTTTGCAAATCTCTGAAATTGTTATATTAAAGGAGTATAGAGGCCGAAATGATGCAAAGCTCGTTGATTCTACCAGTGCAGGAAAGGTGCCGGGAGGGGTGTACACTCTTTTTATCTATTCACTAATAAATAAGGACTGCCATATGTGAAGAGCGTGAATAGCAAGTTTCAAGATACACTGCCCTTATGTGGTCACAAGATGGTCACAAATCTACTTCTTCATTGCAAATTTCGGTATATCTTACTGGGATGAATAACTGTTGAATCATATAACAGTGCAACACCTATGAAGAAGGACTCACTTAAAACATTATTCATTTTTTCAATTTAAATATTTTGTGATATCAGTGATGCATTACTCCACATCACACTCAGTGTTGTCATCCTTATTTAGCTGCGTGCTTTGTGCTTTCTTGAATCCTTGTAAGAACTGGATGCTTGGAGCAAGTAGCCCCACTGGACCTCATACATTAGTAGCATCAGCATGGTGAAAAATAACTTGAAGCATTGTTTTTGTCCTAATGGTAACTAGCTCAAGCTTGTCTAGGTGTGGTGTCTGGCATTTATCTTGTGTATCATAAGCATACCTGAAGTCCCCTCCCTTGTTTTGTAACTTGCAAATTAGCTGAATTGTTTCTTTTTATCCTGAAAACCGCCAAAATTAATTTTGAGGATTTGCATAGCAGTTCTAGGAGAATTAAAATAAAAAAGAACAAGAATAACTTCTGTAAGTTGAACTGAATCTCCAGTTATGTATGGAGATGCTTGGCTTCATCAGTCAGTAACACGTGGGTGTTGCATTTGTTAAATTACTGTCATTAATTTGCCATTAGTAAATTACACTCTATTGTCACTTTTACTGAGCTGTTTTGCATGCTGAAATAATGTATAAATACTAACCCTCTGATGTAACATACTTAAATTCATGCTATGCTTGTTAATATGCCATTTGAATGAAAATATAAAAATTATGTCAATGTATTGGAAAGTATGTTCAGTTATTGTCTATGTTCCTTTAACAGGAACTGTAGTAATAAAAACCTTTCCTGACTGTGAAGGTCTCGTGTTCCTGTCTGGCCTCAGGCTAGTGCACTTTTATGAACAACATATATTGGAGTAAATACTGCTCTGTGATTTTATGCCTCATCTCAGAGAGAGTTCAATTCACTCAGGAATTAGGGGCCTTGGTCTCACAAAACAAATATATGCGTGTTTAGCTTTGTGCTGTGAGCATGCCTGAAGTAGGCTTAGAGCATTAAGTAGAGTGAGACCCAAATTCCATAAGATCTTATGGCACTCCCAAATGCAGGGGCCAAACCTGTGCGTGACATTCAAGAGCTTTCTTGAAGCACAGTATACCGGGTTCCAGCTTCCTTTAAGGTGATAACACTTATCATGAATTTTGACCAGTATTTTCCCTTCTCTATGCCTCAGTGAATGGGACTTCCCCAAAGTAAATATTCTTACCTTCTGTTTTGAACAGTGTGTAGAAGAGTTGACCCTGAGATCCACAGTTGGTTTTTCCACTGTGTTTTTAGGCATTACGTAGTGGTGTGTACAGTGTAAGCACTGCAGCAAAGCTACTGCTGTAGTTACAATATGCCTTGTTTTTGTCCAAGATCCTTGCAGCAATTGGTTCAGCTAAAAATGGATGGTCTTTTGGAATTTTTTTTGGTTTTGGGTAACTGCTGATGTGTTACTTCTGTCACTTAATATGTTGACAGCTCTTCAGAACCTGCTTCTTGTTTGTGTTCCTGTTTCTGGGGGGTCATAACTGGGAGAATTCTTGATAAAAACATCTAGAAAAAATATCCTTTTGGTGTTCAAATTTAAAGCTGCTCTTGGGAATGTTGTAATAATACAACAAAAACTTGAAACTTTTTTTTTTTTGTCTGAAGAGTATCTTAGGGAATAATATATAAAAATTCAACTGAAGGTAGCAGAAATTCACACTGAGTTTTTTAATTTCCACATCAGTTCATTATTCAAGTTGATTGAGCAGAGAGTGTACGAATATTATACAGAATATCAGATCGTGTTGTATACAGTCATATACAATTTTATATCATGTATTTATAGACAGGTTTTAATATATATAGTGTTGTCAGATAGAACTGTTAACAGCTTTCAGGCATACGCCAAGATCTGGAGTCATAATTTGGAAATTAGGTTGCATGTGTTCTACTTTATTAGGAGAAGGAAGTTTGTTACATTCTTCTTAAGCCAAATAATGGTCAGACATTTTTTTATGGAATACTTTACAGTGCAGGATTTATCACTAGCTACTGAATGTACGTAGCGTAGTATGGGTACAACCTTATAGGTATTTTATAGTAGCATCTGTTTGTAATAATAGCTGGTAGAAGTAATGAATCAATTCTTCATTCTATAAAAAAAAGTTATGAAAGCCTCAGGTTATAACCTGAATTCCTAGCTGGATTGTGGGAAGCAGGAATCAGTAGAAGAATGATGTGAATTCTCGGAAAAGAAGTTTTTCAAACATCTCTCAAACTGACTAAGCCACATCTTGTTTTGTTTCCCATCAGATCTGTTTAGTTACATGATGCATTTAGATATGTTCTTAAGGTTCTCTTCCCACAGGTTTCCCACACCTTTTTTTGGAGAGTATGGCTATCTTTTGCTCACTTTCTTGCCCTTCTCTTTCAGCATGACCCAAGTACTATT